ACAAGAGGGAACGATCAATCGCAGTGTGTCGACCGATGGAAATTCGTTCGCGCGGAGGAACGACACAACCCAATTAATTTTAGTCCGTGAACGGGGCCGACGGGACAGAACGCGAGAGAAGGAATCGGCGCGGCGAGCGTCGACGAGAGATATATGTATATCGAGGCAACCACGGTATGTTTCTATTATTACTGCGGTAAAGTACGAGCGTTAAAGTTAACGAAACGGGTCGATCGTACTGCATTGTTGACGAACCGTTTCGAGCGTATACGTACATGTATGTACGTACACGGTACACGCGCGCGGCTCGAATATTCGGCTCATAAAAAAGTTTCAAGCTGTTCCGGTGACCGTAAAAAGAATCGTATGGTCACTCGCGACGATTTCTCGTTCCCGAACATCCCGTATTCTTGGAACTGCCCGCGATGCTAGCTATTCCGTGACTGCGAGACGCTCCGGAATGCTCTGCCCGCTGGCCTCTATTACACACTGGCGAAATTCCCTTTATCCCTTATTACCTTTTTCTGTGTTACGTTCAAATTGCTACAATGAGTATGTGCGCGCTCGTTTTTCGACGTTGAACACGTTTCAGTCGGCAGCGGAATAACGGAGGGAAAAATTGTACACATCGCAGGGAAATTAAAAAGGAAAGCGTGTACAGAGTTGAATTTTCTGAGGACCCGTCGGAAACTCGGGCCGGCTCCGCGACACGAAACTGGTTTTAACTGAATTACGTAGCGATCGTCTTTACGAAAGTTCGTTAAGTCATTTTCACGATAAGTTTTAATGCACGCCGGCACACGGATAGAACCGGCACCGTTTCTCGCGCACTGCCAGGAATAATCTAGAAGGGACATTGTCTTAGTCGGAATTAATCTTGTCGTAAAACGATTTAGTCTCTCCTTCATAATGAAAATTCCATACCAATTTTTTTACTCGCTAATCGAGGAAGTACTCGACGATGAACTGTTATATTTTTTTTATGAACAGAACAGTTCTATCGATCAGATGATTGTGGGAATTGTAACCGCGATGTCGTTACGTTTTATTATGCATTCGCGTAGTCGTCACGCTCCCGGGAGCGATAACGCTGCCACTTTTGAAGGAATATTGAGAAAGAGGAAAAAGGAAAAGAAATTAGGAACGGCGAACTCGTTCGTGGCCGAGGTCGAACTTCCGGTTACGCCGGAAGCGAGGAGATCGGATCCGTCGACATGGAAAAGTAGTTTTCTCTCCTGCTTCTATCTCGATTCTCGTCCCTCCGATTCGATGAAGAAAGTGAAGAGTAAATGGAATAAAGTAATCAGGTCGGTTCAACTTTTCTTTCCTTACGCTCGGTGAAAGCGAGACGCGACACGGCGGCGGTCCACGAAGGAACGGCCTTTGCTTAAAATTTTCATTAACCCCGGGGGAGAAAAGATATCGGCTATCAGATCGTTAATTTTCGAGCAATTTGCCGGGGAAGCGTGCGAATGCGTCGTTCGCCCCCTCGTTTTACGATTATAGGCCAATCGAGGCTCGACGATTATCGTTTACCTATCATTGGAAAAGGAGAATTATTTCCCGTTACAAATTGATCGCGATGTAACGAAAAATTTCGTAGACTTCATAAGAAAATAAATCATTGTAATTAAACAATATTACACAGATTATGCATGAAACTTTATGGAAGTGCTGCGAGAATTTTTCCTGACTCAGGTTTTTCCCCGAGCATGAATACGGTTTAATTAACGTTTTATGCAGTGAAGCTTTTCATCCCGGGAAATATCGATTTGTACAGACCGATCGAACGGTTTTATTCAATTACGAAAACCGCAAACAAGCGGCGGCCAGTTGTTTCCTCATTCGTTTTGGACAAACCACTGCAAAAATGCGGGGCGAGATTATTTACGCAAACACGTGCGCGTTTATTAACGATGTCCCGCACTTGTACACGAGATAGAAACATTAAGGGAGAATATAGCGAGGTCTTCCATTCTTAAATGCGAGGTATAGAATAATTGCGGAGCCAATGAGACGTACTGGTCTTCATAAATTACTTGTACGCATGTAATGGGAAACGAATCAATGATTGTTAGGTACGTAAGTAGGGAAAAGAACAGAAATCAGGGTCGCGTTTATTGGTATTTTCAAAGTGGCCTCTGGTAAGAGGAGCGTAATATCGAACATCGCCGGTGGGCCAATCGTCGCTAGACTTAGTAGGCCTCTCAGCTTTATCGAATTATGTCGCAGTTTCCCAGGGTCCTTCCGGGACGCGCACGTCGTCGTCGCTTTCGTTCTATCCCGTGGGACACGGATGCCTGCACGTCGCGCAACGAGCCGTCGACTAATTCGGCATACGTCGCAGGAACACGTCGCTCGACCTGGATCGTGACCGCATCCTGGATTTTCCGAGTCTCGCTGAACGTTTCCTCCTCCCTGTCTCCTCGAACCGCTCCCATGCTCCTATACCTTTTCTCGGGCTTCCTCTATTGGCCTCGTCCAATTAAAAACGTTGCGGTCAGCCCGAAACGAGCATTAGCGAAATCGTTCGTTGAATGTTTGATGAACGGTTGGAATCACGTTTTTAGCCTAGAGTCTAGATGGTATTTACTGTGTAGAGCCAGCGCTTTGAGAACTGGAGCGAAAAGGGATTTGATTCAATTTGCTTGTCAGGAAGATCGGAAGAAAGATATATTAAGGGTTCGGCTGATTCATAGTTTCCATCCTTCTTGCGATCGTCACAATCGGGGCAGGTAAGCTTCAAAGGCTGCCGATGAATTCCTTGGTGAATTCCTCCTCCGTTAGGTTGGTAACCGGCAAAGCGATGGTAGCTGTGCACCGTCGGTTGCCAATTAGCGCACACGTTTCTCTTTTTAATAATGCATCGGCCTACATGCGCGGCTAGCCGTAATTACGTGGAAACCGCTAATGCGAGCCGTGCCACGCCGCATCGGCACAAACACGTTACGACCACGAGAACCTATACTTATAGTCCTCTTACCCTTCTCGGTGGTTTCCACTTTCTGTTTTTCCCTTTTGAATAGAGTCTTTTATTCTTGTCATCATATTAGATAGAAATTCATGTAAAAGTAAAAGAGTATCATGGGAAATAATAAAGGATTTTATAATTTTATTAAATTATCGAAGGGTTGAAGATACGATTGGCCTCTCTCGAACAATTGGAAACGGGTTTATTGGATTTTTTTCGCGATATGCAAGTCACACATGTATCATTATATTTTATTGAAATTAATACAAAAGTAAAATGGGAAATAATAAAGGATATTATAATTTTATGAAACTGTCCAAGGGTTGAAGATACGATTGGCCTCCCTCGAATAACTGGGAGCGAGTTTATTGGATTTTTTTACGATATGCAAGTCACACCTGTTCGAGAAATATGAATGAGTTGGGTCGTTATCTGGGAACATGGCCACCTGCTGGCAGGGACGATACGGTCACGGGTATCTTCTATCGAAAATGGCCTCGCGTATAATACGACTCCGGGAGTCATTCGCGTTTACGTTTTTCACAAAAGTACTCCTCCGATTGCGTCGTTCCCCCATCGTGCTCGCAGAACATTGCTAAAGTATTTGCTGTATCCTCAGACAAGATCCGTTAGATCCTTCGGTATATCGTTCTCTCGTTAAAATAAACTTCGCACGTTCCATTTTTACTCTGGCATCGAGCATTTTTCAATCAAAATTTTTCTCTTGTGTCTGCCTACTCGTTATACCAATATTCTGCTATCTCCAGCTTTAATTTAATAATCGTATTCGATTTCGTCCAACTTTCAAGTATCATTCGTTTTATTGCATTTACGTTTTAACAGATATTGCCAATCTAGTTTCAGTATCGAATCTATTTTTCTGTTGTCAATTTAAATTTAATTCGCGTCATCTGTCGAAATTGCGCCGCATCCCTGTTTTGACAATCATGTATGCGTTATATGTAGGATGTTTAAAAAAATTGGGCCTAAACTTACTTTGGTCTTACTTGGGCCTAAGTTACATGAAATATTTTTATTTGTTAATATAAAATATTATATTTGTATGAAGATCTACAGTCTGATGATTATGCTGTTTATGTAGAAGAAAAAATATGCTGCAGCAAATTGTTGTAACGTAGGAGGCCAAACGATGTTTCGTATTCGCTCAGTGAATTGAGACAGCGCTGATCAGACATCGCGTTGTCGGACCCGTGTTAGACTTGCTTGACGTTTGCGGGACAAGCTCGTGGCACCTCTACGGAGGTAAGACATTAAGCTCGGTCAGTTTGCACACAATGCACGACGACGTCTCCATCGATTCTACGAGGGATAATCCTTCCTTACAACGTCGAATCGAATCATTTATTTCTTCAAATTATAACTATGTAGTATCTTTATTCTCGAAATGGAGTTTCGTTTCATTTTGTAATAACTTATAACAATTAAATTCTTTTTTATTTGTACTTTGTATTTGATTATGTTAAATTAAAAAAGAAATTGACAAACAATGAAAAGTTAGGACAGATCTATGGAAGAAATGGACAGTGGAATTAATTCTGTGGAAATTTCGTTAATTGTTACAAAGCTTAAATAATTTTCAATTTTATAATTTTAACTACTCATAATTATGATTCTATTATAAATATACTTATACATACAGTATTTTTATAAACACCTGACTGACAGCAATTGTAGGAGTTAGTAAACCATGTTTGAGTCTGCAATAAGCGTGGGGCGCAAGTGGAACTAGTCCGCTTATCGTCAGACGGGGACCCCAATACCCCGGCGCGGTTGTGAAACTTGAAACGCGCGACCATTATGTGAAAAATTGTTGCGAACAAAAGTTGCTCGATCCAATCGAAAGTTTTCGAGAGCCTAGAGACTTGGTTCAAGTCCATTAAAGCTTCCTTACTCCTCTGCACTTCCGTTTAATTCTTTTAATGAAACCGACTGTATACGGCAAGATATATAAATAAGTGTTCTCTATTGATACAGATTATTAACGATTGGTATCGTGTTTTTGTTACAGGTACGGTGACATGGTTCCGAAAACGATCGCGGGAAAAATCGTAGGGGGTGTATGCTCCCTTAGCGGTGTCCTTGTGATCGCTTTACCGGTGCCTGTTATCGTCAGTAATTTCAGCCGAATTTATCACCAGAACCAGCGGGCTGATAAGCGAAAGGCGCAAAGGGTGAGTCAACGTGAATCTATTCTTCTTTTAATTTTCCTTATATTATTCCCGCGATGTATGGTCGTGTATTCAGTGAGTCAAAGCGTGAACCCAGGTATCTTCCTGCTCAGTTAACTCGTTCTCTATTGAATTTTAATTCGATTAACGATCGACTCCGGTGCAAAATGAACTTCTTTGTCGCGGTCCGATTCACCGTTCGACGAACGGGCCACGGAAAAACGCGAACAGGAAAAGTTTTGGAAACAGAGATTGTCTCGCGTCTCGCTAAATGATGGAATATCAGATCTCGCGCGTCTTGCTGTCTCGCGGGTACGTTTTGTGCACGCGGCACACGAAGTGTTTTCGCCCACTTTCCTTGGCGTCTACACGCGACAGTCGCGGATCTACAAATAGCCGTGTCACTATTCGCGCCACGGGCGGTTCGCTTTATTCTGCTACGTTAAATAATTTTCCTCCTGATTCATCTGAGTGTATATTACATTCCATGTGCGAAAGTATTTTTCATTATAAATTTCGACGTCTAAATTGTTTCTTATGTTCAGTTGATAGCGAAATCATGCTTAGCTGACATGAGTAGAAATTGAAACATTTATCTTACATACGTGGCATTCGACATTCAGTAATACAATCGAATTCGACTATATCACAGTGTACGGTTATCTTAGCGGATGTCATTGGTGTTTAGGCACGCGAACAATCGATCAGAACAAGCCGAGAAAATGGAGTGGTTTGAAGTTCACGAGTCCATTTGTTATTCGTCGATCTGTTCGTTCGAGATCGCCGCCGATTTCTTTGTACAAATAACAAAGACCACAAAAGCTTGTTGCTATAGGTATTCTTGTTTGAATAAGTTCGAGCGTCTGCGTTCAATATTCCGTTCGTGTCGATGCGAGCATCAAAGTGCCCCGGGAGGAGAAACGGCCCGCTATCGCGGATGCTAATTACGGTTACGATTGCCTTTACCTTCCGGAGTCTTGTGCCTTTAATCGTCGAACCGGTGAACCGAGCCAGCGATTATCCTCGATGCTTTCATTCCATGATTCACTAAACCGGTCAATTTGATCGAGAGCTCCCATTAAGCCGGGAATACGTTTTTCTTCGGGTTACCCTTGTGTGTCGAGCGTTTCCCTTCTCCCTCTTGTCGGCAGTTACCTGCAATTGTTCTCGTTATAGTTGAAGAGATCATCGAGCCGTCTTGACACAAAAATCTCGTTTTCCGCGAAGCGCAACGGCGTGCGTTTTCTACTCCGAGTAAATTGCTCTCCTCGAGATGCTAAATCCGCCCTTTTCCCATCCTCCTTTCCTGCCTCTTCTCATCGATCGTGCCATTATCTTCGTATCGACTCCGTATCGCGCGTCGCGATCAATCAATTTGGAACGGGCCAGCGAAACGGTCTCATCTGAATTATTTGGGTTGGAGAAGATTCCGCGGGCGGATAATAGGGTATTCGACTAGCGATTGGATATTAGAGTTATACGGGTATAATAGACGTTCAGACTCGGGAGTACTGTAATTTCTTTCAACGAGGCTGAAAAACGGGAATCAGGGAATTCTCTCGATGAAGAGAGACGAGCTCGAGGGTTTAGCAGGAGTTTGGGTTGGCCGTAGGCCAGCGGCTGAGTCTACGAGCCTTGGTACATTATCACTATCTCGCGTTCTCCTTGAACAGAGACAGAGACAGCTGCCCGAATAAAGTGCCGAGATGCCAATGCGATTTCGCGGTTAGGCTACTTCCGGTCTAGTCGTTCCCTTGATTGATAGAGATTGTTGCATTTCTCAAGAAAAAACATTAAGGAATAGACTTCGATAGCGGTGCGATAAGACAAGACGTCAATGTTACCCACAAAATTAACCAAAAATGGGTTTACACTTTTCGTTTTATATATGATTTTTGGATACATCTTTGGAAAAAGGAAAGTTAAATCTCACGTACTCTGGTCATACCATGAGCGGTACAAAGTAGATGAAAACTCGATAAAAAATAATTAAAGTGCCTAGGGTAGTCACGCGACTTTCCTAACGTTTGTCACGAAAAATGTAGTCTGGTAAACACCTATTAATTTTGTAAGTAACATTGACATTCCATCTTATCGTCCTCCTATCTACTCCTCTATGACCTGTGCTAGTTGAAAAATAAATGTTATTTTTAACACTCAGCAAATACGGGCGAAGCAATTTTTCACTTGACTAGATAAATAATTGTTTCATATTATAGAAATTATACAGGAAACAGTTTATCTTGTTTTTTCTTTATTAAATACATGGAAAGTTTGAAATCCATCTCATTTATTTACAGTAAACCTTTTCGCTGTTGAAGGAAGGTCAATATAAATATTTTCCTCAATTATATAGGCGAAGCAATATTTCTCTTTACTAGTCAAAAGCTGTTTTATATTATACAAATTATACAGAAAACAGTTTATCATCTCCTTTCCTTATTAAGAATACAGAAATTCATCTCATTCATTCATAGTAAATCTCTTTCCTATTGAAGAAACCTTAATTAAAATATTTTTCATTTACAACTGGTTGAATATCGTTCTGTTAAGCTAGAACAGATTGAAAAAGCGCGATACTGGTGGCGTTAAACGGGCATGAAACCTCAGCTGGTCAGGAGAGGACGGAAGGAAGAGAAGTTAAGAAAGACGGGAGGATAGTTCGGCCGACAATTCGCAGTTCTGAAATCGCGCGGTTTCCTCCCTTTCTTTTGCTAGGTTCGATCAAATCTGCATTGCAGATGCGTCGCGATCTACATATGCATGGCCAGCGCTCGTTCTGATTCGCGGTTTCGGACACCGACGGATCCTACCTTCTTCTTTGTCCCCCATTTCTCTTCTTCACTCGCCGACGACAGGGGATCTGATTTTTCATTCCCGTCGGACCGAATTTTCGCCATTGTCCTCTTCTACGTTTGCCCCTATCGCTGTCTCTTTTTTCTTCTCTTCCTCGTACATCCGAAATTTCTTTTATTTCTATCTTTATTCAATTAATTCCTATGCAGTCTTTTAGCGTTTGTACTGAGTGTCCCATAAATGACTTTACACTGTTTGAATTTGAATAACTCGAACAAAATTAATAAAAATATGATTTTGTAAAGTCACAATGATGTTGAAAATATTATTGACGATGATTTAATGTTGGTGATGTTAAAAATATCCTCCAATGGCAGAAATACGTCGTAACCCCTTTGTGGGACACTCAGTATATGTCCTAATATATACTGAGATGAGTTATTTTGACGCTCACGGAATTTAGGTTAAAAAGCGTAATTATTCTGAAAATTATTGTTATTAAATTATTATTATTATCATTATCAGTTTATTATTCAGTTTTCATTCATAGAAACGTAAAAATTGCTGTCTTTTCTTATGATTTGTTAATTTGAAAAACAAGTCATTTTGATCCCTCTCATCGAAGTAGGTATATGTCAATCGCAGATAGTTCTAGTGTTAATACAACGCAATATTTTGTTTGGCTGATCTTTACGTATTTCCTTATTCGATGCCAGATTTATATATGTACAAGGATACGGGTTCGCAATTTCGACGTAAAATATTGGTGAACGGAAGCGATTCGGTATAAGGAACAGTACGAATATAGAATTTGATTAAACGGAGAACCAAAAGCAAGCAAGCAAACGTAGAAGAAACTATCGGTTAAAACATCGAATCGTCGGAGTTGGTCTGCGGCAACGTCAACGACGCGAGCCGAAATGTAGTCGGTGGACGTGGCACGCAAATAAATAGATTCGACAGGGAACGCCGGAAGATCCGCGGTCGTGGAAGTTGTCCGGTCTCTGGCTTCGATCCGGCCTTCGGCGATCGATTTTGCGCCCGGCACCTAAGTTCACTCTGAGCTAAGGGTAAACAAATATTTGAGGAGCTTTCATAAGTAAACGGCTGTAGCGCGAGCTCCCCGTTTCCGACCGGAACATCGTCCCTACCGATCCTCTTCCGGAATAAATTTCAACTTCTCACAAAAAATGCCAGCCTCTTTTCTGACGTCGACTTCATTTCAAGAGAAAACAAAAATCGCAGCTCATTCTGATCATTAGACGTGTCTTTTGATAAGATTCATCATCCCTCTGCAGTCGATTTATGTTCAACAAGTATGAGAGGACTTCATCTCCAACAAAGGCTTAAGACTCTCATGAGAAAAATAAATTTTCAAGTGTAATCGGATTGTAAAATATCGATAAGATAGACTTATGAGAAATTTTATTCGTACGTGTTTCACTCATTATTCGTGCGAAATAATGAAACATTTTTTGTACACTATTGTTTCTTCTATAAGATTATGCATTTCCAAAGTTACGAGAACCATTACTAAATTATTCAAAACTAATCTTCCATTTATCCTATTTATAGAAATTGAAATTATATCAAATATTCTTAAAGTTTTCTAT